GGGAACGCGCGCTCTTCGGGGCTGGGCCGGGGGAAGCGCCGTGGTTCGCCCCGGGGATGCCACGGGCCGGGGGCTTCACGAGCCGGGAGCGCGGGGCCGCTGCCGCCGGGGAATTTCCAGCCACGGTATCGGGGCGCTTCCGCCGCCGCCCATAAGCCGCGGGGCGGCCGCAGCTCCAGCTCTTCCCGGCCCTTCTCTTCCCTGCCGGCCCGGGGCGAAGTTTCAGCCTCAGCGCCCCGTGTGTCAGGCGGGTCGGGCGGGGATTGGTAGGTGGTGTGCCCTCGGCAGAGGCTGCTGAGCGCAGCAGCCACCCCAAGCCGCAGAATCAGAGAGTTTCCCGTGTTGGAAGGGACCCACAAGGTTCATCGATTCCAACTCTTTGCCAAGCTCAGGACACTCCAAGAATTCCACCATGTTTGAGAGCGTTTTCCAAATGCTCCTTAAGCTCTGTCAGACTTGGTGCTGTGACCTGGGGCGCCAGTGCCAAACCACCCTCTGGGTGAAGAACCTTTTTCTAACGCCCAGCCTAAACCTGCCCTGACACGGTTCAGGCTGGTCCCTGGGGTAAGACAATTCCGAAGCAGAACCCCGTGGTTGGGTGTATGTCCAGTCAGTGCCAGCCACTGTGCCCCTCCTCTCACGGGAAAGGCCTCCACGAGTGGTTAAAGGCAGAGGACAGAAGCCCCCTCATGGTGGCCCTGGTCTCGAAGGGGGAATAGGCAACCTGCCAGCCCCAGTGCTTTCCCCACTCCCCCCAGAAGTGTCCCTGGGCTATGGGGAAAGATCATCCCTTGGAGTGGGCAGGAGGAAAGGGGGATGCCACTCTATAATACTGTAAACCCTTTAGGACATGGCAGCTTTGAGGGAGAGGAGGCTGGAGTGTTAGCTGTACTGGTTCTCCTCAGGAGACATTTCCTGGCTTGGGAGGCAAGGCTAGGTAGTACCACTCTTTCTGAATCTAAATTAAAGTCAGTAGCCCTGCTGTCTTGTTTTCTGTGGCCAAGCTTAATCTAGCAGTGAGATTTTGAGACAAAGATTTTAGAATCTTGCAATATGATGATTTTAAAATGTGTGCTCGGTAATTTTTCCATGTTCCTGCTTAAAATGGTTTAGAGATCCTCAAATAACTCCCTCTTCCCCTTGTTAACTTTTTCAAATTCTCACAGCATTTAATTGATGGTTTGGGAAGCCCCAAGTGCCTTTCACATGCCTGTGAGATAAACCTGAAAGGAAAATGCAGCCACTTCTTTCTTCCAAGAAAGACTTTGCATGCACCTCAGGGAGGAACAGAAATCCCCTTTCCTGGCTTTTCGTGTGCGAATTTGACTTCAGTTCAGAGAGGTGTTAATCATTCTTTTGAAACAATAATCTGACCGTGCTTTTTTAGAGCTTGAAAATATTTGGGGTCCCTGCTGGCCCCACCTCACAGCATGGTCAGGCCTCACTCCAGCCTGCAGAGGCTTAGGCTGAATTTAAATGGGATCGGTCATCCAAGGACTTTCAGATAAAAGTCTCTGTTGTTTTTGGAATGAAATGCACTGTGGAAGTGATAAAAGAGAGGTGAGTTATCCCTTCTCTCCTTTGCATTTATAGTACACAGTTAGGTTTCCGTCTCAGTCTTGTCCCTCACCACACCCTTGCTAATGCCGTCCTACAATAAATCCTCCACTTTGTTCTTTTCCCTGTAGCGCTGTTGAGCTGAGGATGTCCAAGGCAAGGTGGCATCAACCCTTCAAAGTTTCCAGGCTAAGTTAGATCTCCAGAAGGAACCATAAGCTGCTGAATGAGCAGTAGCTCTCAAAGCTTTCCAGGTATCTGAAAAAATATGATAAAGCACACCTAACTTTAGCAGATTAATTGCTAATAGGATTTACAGAATAAGAATGTTTTAGGGCGGGATTTGGATGAATACATTGTCTTCAGGCAAAGTGCTCATTTAAGGACTCTGAAGCATACTGTTGTTAAATATACTTAATTACATTAAGAAGTGATCCATTAAAGCTGGGTTGGTTTTTTTTTTTTCAAAGTGTGGCTTATGACAAACAGAAGACGCTGTAGAAAGTGTTTGCAAGGGTTTGTATGTTGAAGGATGTTTTAACTGCCTATTTGCTGAATGGATCCTTAGGTTTCCCTGCAAAAACAACCAAGATGTTGCCCTGAGTAGTATTTCAAAACATTGAGCCTACTGAAATATTAATGTATGCCTTTTAAAATGTCATAATTAGCTGTTATCTCTGAAATAACTGTTATTAAGAAAAGCTGGCTGCTTGTGATTTGAGTGAGAATTACATTCTAAATATGAGAAGATGATAAATTTGGGGGAATATGCACAGAAGTGAAAGCAGTACATGATGTGGCAGGCACACTGTTTTGTATAAAGAAAGTAAATATGTAAAGCATGCACTTTTGCATATGCATAAGAGTGGGGCTGTCCTCTAGAAAATATATACACCGAAGAGAAGAGCATAAATATTTTTCCCAGCCTAAGGCCATAACTATATACTAAAAAAATAGAAAAAATGTGTAAGAAATAGAAATGTGTATCTATGTCTTTAGCAAAGAAACAGCATGCCTCATACTGCTGCTTCAAACAGGGCTACATGCAAACCCCAGACCCAGAGGTTGTCTGATAGGTTTATTTTGTAATTACATAATGGCAGTCAATTCATCTTGATGTTCATGTCTTGAACAAGAGGCTTAAAAAAACAATAACGTGTCTTTTGGCTTATAGTTCTTTATTATTTTTTTTTGCCTTTATTTTTTCATGACTACCCATTTTCTGTCCCCTGTGTGCTGCTGCTTGTGCTTTACCACCAGCTCGGCAGAGCGATGGCTTCCACAGGATGAGCATATGAATGTATGGATCCCAGCCGTGCAGATCCAAACCACATTAATGTATTTACACACATTGTGGCGGGAGACAACAACCACGTCCTAGATGTAGCTCCTTCTGCACAAATACTTGATCTTTTCTCCAGATGCATCAGGTTTTCTCACCAGCTGCTCTATCTAGTGTATGAGCTAATACCCACTCCCACAGGGAGACAGAGGGACTGGTAAGTTGAAAATCTGGAAAACAACATTGTCCAGTTCAGAGGTGGACAGCAATGATGTTTGGTCACTCTGTTAGTCCACTGGGGAGAAAATACACCTAATCTAAGTTAACATAGGTCAGACTCCATGATCTGAGAAGTCTTTGCAAAACCTGTTTTATTCTATGATTCTGTGATTAACCTCTTTCAAAAGCCACTACTCCTGATTTTCAAAACTGCCTTTTAAAGGTATCAATAGTCTAATAGACTCCATTTATACATGTGGGGTTGTTAATACTGTGTCACTATCAAATGGAAAGGTAAAAAAACCCTGGGTGCTCTGGGGAAAAAAAGGTGATTTTTAATTCTCTGTAACCTAGAAAAAAAATGCCCGTTTTAATAACATAAACAACAGAATAACAGAAGATAACAGAAAACTTCTGTCAGTGTCTTTTCTCTCAAGAAAAAAAAAATCTTGAAGGGTTTACATCACTACATATTTAGCTTCTGTTTAAAACATATGTTCAATTCTCATGTAGATGAAGGGGAATTACATGACCACTACCCGAGGAGAATAGATCCCAAATACTCACTTCGTTACTGCTGAGTCACTTAAGTATATTTGCACTATGATTCTAATTCAGCCTGATGGTAAGGCAGCTGCTTTTCTCACTTGCTGCATGGCTGCTGCATCTTCAATGACATTTATGAAAAACGTTGAGGGGAAGAACGTGTCCTTAGAGCTCAGAATACATCCAAATTCTTCTATTCAATGGACCAAAGCTCCCCAAAGGTGCTTTAAAACTGCAAGCTAAATCTAACAGCAGATCACATTTTACTATGACAAATTCTGTCGTTATCTTTTGTAGACAGTTGCTGAGATTCAAAGTATTTATGTAAGGAAAACAAACCGGTGTTTTGGGCTTTGGAAATGTCAGGGCCCTTGATTCTCCTGTTTATTTAAAAGTGGAAGTGTGCTGAGGGACATCTTTTGAACTCTATTCAAAGGTTAAAACTGATCTTTCATACAGTTTTGAAATTCAAAATACTGCTGTTAAATGTTTTGACTCTGCTGTGTAATCTCTGTTTTGCACTTAAATACCAAATTCTGTCCAGAGTTGGCTGTTCTGCACAGTGCAGACACAGGCATTGCATCTTCCAGCCATGAGGTGCAGCCATTTCAAGGGAGGAGCACAACCCCCCAACATGTGCAACAGTTCAGAGCCAATGGGGCAGATATAGCATTCCACTGCTGTGGTAGGTTGTATCAGTAAAATGGGATTGCCCACACTGGACTTTGCTCAGGACTGCAAGCTGATAATCCCCTCTTATGGTGAAAAAATTTGTAGGGAGAGACAACAGAAAAGAAAGAGTGGATGTTATCTTACTTGGAGATGCAGTAGGCTGCATAACCAATTTATGAGTTGCATAAGCCCAGGGATCAGTGCTTTCTTTGCTTGGGAGGAACATTTGCCAAGTGTATGTAGTTGTTTACTGATGCAGGGAAGCTCATCCCATGGGCCCTCAAATTCCTTGGGCCAGGTTCCATGGCAGCTTCCTTGAGGACCCACAGCCACAACCTTGCAACATTTGTGTGCCTGGACAGGACTTTTTCTCTGGCCCATCCCAGCTTGGTACAAGAGCCATGGTCTGAAAAAGTGGCAAAGTGATGTGCTGTAGATCCATACATACATTACTGGACCATGCTCCCCAAGAGCATGGGAAAATGGAGCAGAGGTATGGTGGCACTGAGTTGGGCCAAGAGGCTGTAAAAGCAGCTGCAGGTTGTGAGTGAAGGCAGTGCCATAAGCCTATGGCATCACATTGACTCAAGTTTAAGTTCCTATTTGGCTCTCTACTATGTGTCTACAGCCTTAATTTTCAACTTCATATCAAAGAGCTGACTTCATCCTTTAGAGGTCTGATAATGCTGTAGTTAACTGCAGAGAATGAAACAAATGCTCCTCATTAGCCTTCCCAATTATTTTCTAATAACTGGTGACTAATCATAGGTCCTGCCTTTGAAAACTGTTTTGCCAATGATTTTAATTGTTATACAAAATGTATTGTATCTCGCAGAGCACTGATCCCAAGAAGCATATGATTATGCGAAAAGTGCAGCCTTCCAAACAATGTTTTCATCCTTCATGACTGCCAGGGAAAGTCTGGAAGCCTGCTCTCTGTGAGCTTAGAAACCTGTAGATAAAAGAAAAATCAATGTGCTTTTAAATCAAGATTTTGCATTAGTTTCATGATTGGTGTGGTGATTGAATTTTTGAATGTTTGAGGTTGACGATTCTGAATTGGGTCAGACAGTGTAAGTAATTTTCTGCTATTATATGCTGGCATGAATTTTACCTTCATGCAACATTTCCTGTTTGAATGGGTTATGCAGACTCTTACCGATCAGTGCACAAGATTTTAGTCTACAGTCTAGACATATGTACAGTCCATGCAGATCAAACATCATCTGCAATGGTCATAGTCTTATCTGTGTTTTTCTGGTTCAGAAAATACAGAAGTGTAGTCTGTATTTTACTTTTCAATCCAGAATTAAAAGACAAGACCATAAGTAGTGTGATCACTAGATAATTTTCCCTGTATCTACAATAACAGGAGGCAAAAAACAATGGGCACACAACAACAAACCAAGACTCCAACTGTCTCTAATGAAAAAATTAAATTTGAGATATTTTTACAGTTAAGTTCCTTCTTAATGTTACTGAGCTTATGATCTCTACACTTAACAAATTAAGTCATCCTCATTTTCTAATGGGAAATAGCTTAAAAATACCTGAATAGGTGTGACTTTAAAATCAGAATTTGGGTATACAAGACCACTGTTTCCAGTAGAACTGGTACATAATTGTAAAACTTGGTGTATTTTGCTGTCACTCAGCAAATAACCTCAGTCATTACTGTGGAATTAATTGAATAGTACATCAGTACAATCAATTGCTGCTTAATCTAATTAAAATTAGAATTAGCTGGGAGAAAAATAGTGTGAAGAACTAATATGGCTGAAAGTGAAATTTTCCTGACTTCACCAGTCATAATTGAAATTGCTGAATAATTATACATAGCAGAAAAACTGAATACCAGACAGCATTATAAAAATCAGTGGTCAATTACAAATACTACATAAAACAATCTGGAAACACTGAATTCTTGAATCAGAGATGGAGAAAATTTTTAACTCTACAAAATCATAACTATGGGTTGTTAACTGAAATAAAGTAAAATTTTAAATATTGATTGTATCACAATTAATTATTTTAAGGAACAGGCTTTTTAGTAATGACAAAGGAGCTATGAGAAATTAATCAGATTTCAAAATACAGTTAGGAGTGTCTTGGTTTTGGGTGGGGCTTTTTTAAGCAGTCCCTTTTTAAGCTGCTATTGCAAGGAAGCAGCATGGCAATAACAACTGGCTGAGCATATGTAAACTTGGATCTGCATCACTACCATTCTTTTACCTGATCTCTATTACATACAGGACAAGAAAAATAATCCAGAAGTCAGTGTTCCTAGTCTTTGTTTTCCAAGTGTCACTGTCACCCAAGTGCTGTATAGCTTTGGCTTAGTCAGGAAAGCTTTGATAGTTTAGTATTCCTGGGTTTTATACAATTATAGTAATAGTTCACTGGGAGGAATAATTTGTAGGTGTAAAGCACAGAGGGCATCCTATACAAATGGTATATTTTAGCATTATGGCTTACAGCAGCAAAGTCAGTCCTGATTTAGCTGACAAATCCAGTACCCAACTGAAATATATCAGGTGGTATTTTTTCTTCAACAAATTTAGGAGGCTTGGTTGTGTTTGTAGTTTTGACACTCATTAGCCAAACACCTTTGTCACACTAACCTAAGTCACTACATGTTTATCTGTAGACTGTGAGCATGCATGGACATGTACATCAGAGCACTCTGGCTAAACACTTGAGTCTGTGCCATCTGCCAAAAACAGGACCAATTTCTACTCAGCAAGAAATAGTCTGTACCAAAGGACTGCATGGTTCCTCAAATACCAATTTAAAATATTACAGCTCTTTCAATGCCAAACCTCTCCAGAGTGGAGATGGCTTGCCATAGCTGTGAGTGCATGCCAGGCAGGAGGCACAGCGCTGTTCAGCTGACATACAAAAAAGTAGCAGTCAAATCAATGACTTATTTGACTCAATACTAACAATCATGTCTGTTCTAGGTTTGAAATCACCTACATTTTGACTTTCTGTAGAGCTCAACACTGCAGTAACCTGCTCTCCTGGGATTTAAAATTTGATGAGCGAGGTCCCTAGCTGACAGGGCAAATTGTGTAGGCAAAATTAATCACCACTCATTTACTTTGTGTTGATACTGGTAGGTCATGATAGTCCTTTTACAGATCACTCAGGAAAAGATCATTTCCTCTGCCCTCACCCCAAAGAACAGTTTAATTTACCTTAGGAGTTTCCCAGCAGACCACAGGGAACCCTGCAGAGGGTCAGAGCTTGAGGTTGGTTGCCTTTGCAGCCCCCCTGAAGGGCCCCCAGCAGCAGAGCTGTAGCTGGCATGCCTCGCCTTGCCAGCTGCTTCAGAGCTCCTGTGAAAGCATCGGGAGGGAGAAAAGCTCCTCACCGTGGGAGGGTGGGTGGGAAAAATGATAACGGGGAGTGGTTGCATTCTCATCATTCCTGTCCCAAACCTCCTAGTCATTGGGCCCTCTCCACCAAAATACCCCTGAGAGGGGAATTCCTGGGAAGTAGCCGATCCAGAGGGAATGAAATGTGCCTTTATGTTGACATGCTGTTATTCATGTTGATCTGAAGATGTTACAAATGCTGTTTTGTGCTGGTCCCCACACTGCTGTTTGCCTCTACAACACATTGCCTCACAATGTCATGTATTTTAATTGTTTCTTCCCCTAACAGGTGCCTGACACTGCACTGCCTTGTGCTTTGGTGTCAGTAACTTTGAAATTGTTTACGGAAAAGCTCGTGGCTCCCACTGATTTCATCTGCTCTTGCAATTTCGCTATGAGTCATCCAATATGGTGTGTACTTTGTTTTACTTACAGACCAAACTGCCTGAATTGCATCTTTAGTTAAGTTGTCTCATCTCCCTTCCAGCAAAAAAGCACAAACAAATAAAAAGTTTCTTACTCTCAGAGCTGTGGAGGCACACTTGAAAATGTTTTTACTTCTAAACTCTTTTTTGATAGGAGGTAAATAAAAGCAAGCCCACCATTGTATTTTTAATAGTGCTTATTTTGGGTCACAAGTTATGTGTACCAGAAGCTGGTAGTTCTGGGTATTTTATATCTCTGAAACTTTCACACATCTCCATGTGGATGCCCAAAATTGCATTACCCACCCTTGGGAAAGTAGCAATGTTTTAACCCCTCACTGGTATGTTGATAAACATTCATAAAGCACTTTGAGAACCGCAAAGGTAAAGCATTGAAAGAATAGGCTGCTTGCTAGGGAATTGCCTTAAGAAGATGAGGATTCAAGGGGCTTGCTAGAGTCTGGAGCTTGATACTCAAGAAAGTTTGCAGTGCTTGACTCCCTGAGCTGCTAGGATAGGGAGAGAGTAGTCTGGTGAGAGAGCCTACAATACAATACAATAAAAGACGAATGGACTCAGTGTCTCAGGCACATGGTGGGATTCTTATGGTGTCTTGCAGAGGTCCAAGAGTTGGACTCAATGATCCTGATGGGTCCCTTCCAACTCAGCTTATTCTATGATTTTATGATTCTAAGAATAGTAATCCTGTGGGGGTTTAAGTGCTCCTAAACAGCCTAGATCTACTTTATACTGCCTTCAGAGTGTATTTTTTAACAAGGCTTGCGGTACACTGCTTTTCCTGTCAATCTGTCAACGGGGATGGCATGATCACTACAGCAGTGCAGCATCTATCCATTTATATTTCAGCCTTAGATGGCACCTGGTCTTTTAAGGGTAGCAGCAGTCCACAGTGAAGCCTGGAAAGACTACAGAGGGACTCTGCTGAGTTGAACTGCCCAGTCCCCTTCTAGCGCAGAGCTTCACTTGCTGCCTCTACAAGTCAATCTCACACTCTTCTTCCAAAGCTGAGCCTATTGAGAGCACCAATTGCTGTGAAAATCCTTAAGCTACACTTGCAAGGAGAGTGTTTTTACTGTGATTTGTTGAAGTCAGGAGGTTACTGAGTGCACACAGCCCTCTCTGAGCAGGGAAGCTGTTAACAAGAAGCATCAATATTTTTAAAAATAACACATTCAGGTGCAATGGCCAGGCTAAGGGAACGTAACATTATTTTTCCCACAATTTGGCTAAAAGTGTCATAATTACGTCCATTACTTTATCAGAGTTGTTACCTTTGCAGTTGTAAACAAGAAAGGCTCGCCAATTTTCCACTCAATGGAAAAGTCCTGTATGCTTTGATAGCAATACACCAGAGACAGCATATAATGGAAATGTCGTGGAGCACCAGCTCAAAAGCAGAGGAAAATGGCTGAAGAATTAACTCTCAAAAGATATTTTTCTTTCCTCCTTTTCCTATTTTCCTTTTTTCTTTTTAATGTATTCTTTCTCTCTTTTTCTTTCCCTTTAATAATATGCATATAAAAAAAGGCTTTCAATCTCAAATAGGCCTCTGTGTCTTTTTTGCTATAATGAAAAATTAAGACATATAGCAAATCTGCTTTTCAGTTGTCTTTTCTCAGGTACTTCCTGCTTATGTCTTCAATCAATGTAGCATTCTACATAAGCAGAACAAAGCAGCTTGAGGAACATACCTACCAATTATTTTCTCTCAGTTAGATTAATGCTGTACTTGTTTTATGTATCTCTAGGTCAAATTGTGGTCTACTTATGGGCCCTCATCTGGCAGTTCCTTGCCTTCTAAAGGGCAGGGTGGGCAGAAGGGTCTTGGTAATCTTGCTCTGCTGCCTACATACATCAGCTGAGCTAGTGCCAAGGATGAAGCAACCTGTCACACTTGGAACTGTGTTTTGGTCGCAGTTCTTTGCCTGCAGCAGTGCAGAAGTGTGTGGGTTTGCCCAGTGTCACCTAAGAACCCCTTAAATCAGATTAATTATTTGCTGACCAACAACAATTGATTATCTGAGACAAAGGTTAATATTACCCTAGACATTTGTGGTGTCTCTAAGGCTAATTCCTAGATTAAATCATAAATTTTTATGCTCTGAGAGAAAACATTTATTAAAGCTAGGAGAGAATGTATCTAATACAAACGTATCCCCAGGAGCCACCATTTGAGCTGTATGTGGCTGTTTGTACAGGAGCCTATTCTTATATTACTTAATCTTTTTCTAATTAATTTTTACTGGTCTTCTTTCTCAGATCTTTGCTAATATTTTCACCAACAGAAATGGTCACTATGAGCAATCAGGGCCCAAACCCAGAGCTCGGCAGTGTGCTCCTTGTAAAGACATATGGAGCCTGTAGCTGCAGGCACCAAAGTGTTCAGCTAAGGACAAAGAAGAGAGGCAACATGTGCCTCTCCTTTCCCAGTCCTGCATCCTGCTTGCACCAGCTCTGACCCTGACTGGACCCTCCCTTTGACTCACTAGTGTGGCATAAAGCTATGTAGGATTTGCTGTTGTTTGTTTTCTTCCAGGTTGTTGAACTGAGGTGACTCAAGGGCAAAGCCAACACGTGAGTGCTGGTACAACCATGAGATACAGAGAGAAACTCTGTGGTGGCGGGAGTCTGAGAGATGGGTGGGACCTCAATTTTTTGAGTCACAAAGTGGTTATTTTACTCCTTGGGAATTTGTGATACGAAATCTTTGGGGCAAAGGGATTAGAATATGAACATTCTCCAGCACCTTCTGCAGGAAGCAACCTGATACCAAGAAACATGGTGCATGAGCATCTCTTAGAAATCCCACCCCTGTTCCTCTGGCCAGGATGAAGGGATCTTGGACTTGCTTTGCTGACTAGAAGATAGAGATCTCTGGATTTTACTGACATCCTCTTTTCTATGTAAGTAAGTACCTGACATATTAGTGGCACTACACACCCATTCTCCTGCCCATGAATTTGCCTTTACCTTCAAAAACAAAGGTGGAGCATATTCATAGCCAAAGCTGCTCCATAACCACTGCTGCTTCCTGTGGTGGATCCATCCAATGGTTGTGTGCCAAGCCTAGTGTGACAGGCCCTTAAAGCAAATAAGTGGTATATTTTTGTGTTGTAATCACACCCAGACATGACAAGAGTATCAGGGATGGTCCCAAACATGTGCAGGTGCAGAGTTGGCTGCATTTAGGACTTATGAAATTAAACAGGAAGGTATGGATTAGAAATGTTCAGTACAGGAATCTTAATAATACATAAGCCCTTTTTTAGTCACTTAAACCTTTAATTGGGTCGAGCCCTAAGCAGCTCATTAAGTTGCAGTCGTACAGTCAGGAACTGAAGCAATATCATGTAGAGCCTCTGCCCCCACATTGTCTCTCCTGAGCAACTACAGGAGTGCAGTGAGACATCTTTAGCCACCTAAAAACTACTCCTGCAAGCTATTTCAGGGCTACTCAAAAAGTTCATGATTTGTAAGTGATTGAAGAATCACTTCTAATCCCTAATTTTCTTAAACATTCATTTACTGTTAGAGCATATGTCTAATTTCTTCAGATCAAATTGACAGAAGAAAAAATCTACTATAAGTGCTTTAATTTACAGATTTTTAGGTATTAGGAAAAAATCCTTTATGTACATTAGGTAGAAGTGGATTTGATGAAGAAATAAAAGTCTCCAAGTCTTAGGAAATACCATTCTGTTATTAAAAATTACAAATAACAAACAGCTGCAGAGAGGAAGACAATCTATATTGGGAAATTGGTGGAAGACTGCAGTCAGGGAAGAGAGAGGCTGGGTGCAGGATTAGTAAATTAATTCCTCTAACTCCTCTCCCACAAATAATTTGGTGGAACTTGGTTGAGCCTCAGTCTGGTTGGGAGAGACAGCCAGCAGTAATCCTATCCCCTCCACCCAGTTTTTTTTGCTCCCAGTTACACCCCTGGCCCCAGAGAGCAGAAGCCCTGGCTCACCCTGCCCTCTGGCTGCTGCCAGCCCAGGCAGAGCCAGACACAGGAGCATCACCTCCACTTTCAGCTCCCAGACTGAGCTGCATCTTCTGTATTTATGTGTTTGTTGTTATTCCTACATGCTCTTCCCAACCTTCATTTTTAAAGGAAGTGGGTATATTCTGATCCAAATGATTTGGCGTATTTAATAGTACTTCCATTCATTTTCTACTTGCTAAATGAACAGTGTAATCAGTTTGTCCAATACAGGGAAGCGTTCAAGGGGGATGTTCACACTAGAACGACATAAAAGAAATCATATGTATACAAGAAGCAATTTACATGGGCATATTTTTAGGTTATTTTGTCTCCTGTTACAAATGATGAAGTGATGCTATTTAGACTAATTCAGTATGATCACTGATTTTTTTCATTTTCATGAAGTCTGAGGCAATAAAATATATCTTCTATAAAATAAAACCATGAACTGCAAACACATCTCATGCATCCCAGGTAGGAAAAGAGAAAAGGCATTTCTACATTGAATACATATATTGGACTCCTGCATCTCTTATTCATACACAAGAAAATTTTGCCTCAGGTTTAAGTGCTCACTAATTCATACCTTAGGCTTATGAACCAGATCTAAAATGTTAAACCTGTCAATTAGAATAAACACGGTCAAGCCAAGGTCAGAACATCCCCTGGACTAGAGCTAGTGTTGTACCACTGCAATGCTATAGAGGTGAGAATAGAAGCAATGGGTCATGTTCCCTGGATAACTTTAAATTACAGCCTTGCTCAAAGCAATAGTCTTTTCTTCATGATTTCCTGTAAAATATAATCTATATCCATTGCCGCATGGGAGCAATAACTATACAATCACTAGTGCAGCACAAATTAATTTCTGAACAACTGTCTCATAAGAAAGTCCTCTTGGAGAGGGGAAAAATAGATCAATAGGCAAAGTCCACTGCATTCGCACAAGGCCAGAATGCTTGGGCTGCACATGCAGCTGGAGAGTTGTAATCCAAATCCTTTCTGCATGTGGCTGGAGCGTGCTCAGGGCTGCTTTGCCGATCTCCTAAGTGTAGTATTTCCCAGAGAAGCAGGGAGCAATAGGCTGCCGGACTCATCACGGCCAAGAGTGCGAGCAGGTTTTGTCAGGCACCGAGCCCAGCTGTCCGCGGGCGAGCAGGCGTCCTGGCACCAGGGCTGCAGGAGACTGGCTGCCGGAGCACACAGCCTGGATGTGGAGGCCAAGCCACTGGGGAGCTGCTCCTCTGAAGAAACATTTTATCAAAGCTGATTGTAGTGGAATATAGGTGTCCCTTTGTTCAGCAGAACAGCAGCACAGCCAGGCAGTGCAGCTGAGAAGGTGTCCTCAAGGAACAGCACTGCACCCCAGCCAAGCTGAAGGGGCAGTGAGTGGCTTCAGCATCTCCTCTGTAGCATGGGTGAGGCCAGGGTGACTGCCAGGACAGCCCTGGTTGACCTTGACCGCAGTCTGTCCTCTGGCTCGGTCCAGCTGGTGCAGTTAATTCAAGTCACACTGTGGTCAACCCTGCCTTGCCTGCAGCTAAATTGCACTGTGCTTGTGAGGGATGTGGCACTAAGTCTCTGTGAAATCTGCCTTTCCCCAGCACACCGAGCTTTCTGTGCAGAGGTCCCTGGCCTTGCTCCCATCTGTAAATTCCCCTCTATAACAGAGAGGAGCATTTGGGGAAAACCCTTCTGTGTGAGCGTAGGAATGGGCAACCAGGGCTCCTGCACATCCACCCGCCGCAGCAGCAGCGCCGCTCCCACACACAGCATGATACTCACAGTACAGATGGAGTTTGAAAACACACAGGTAAAACGACCAAAATAAACCATCCTCTCTAGCACTGATGTATTTCTTCAGTTTAGTCTAAACCACTCAGCCAAACCACAACATTTTGAGAAAGGGAACAAATGTAAGTACTCCTGTCCTTATAGCCAGTAAAACAAAGTAAGTGCAGCAGACAGCCAGTTATAATGGACAAACAGTCCTTTGGGGAAGACTTCCCAAGCCAACCATTAAATTCAACACATTTTTTCCCTCTCACTCAGGGATCCTAAAGAAAGGGTTGAGCTCAGGGGATGACAGAGGAACTGAGGAAATGAGATAAAAAAGCTACTGAAATTGAATTTCCTCGCAGAGTAATTCTTCCATAAGCTGCATAACCTTTCCTTACCTAAATAAATACTCTGTGGTGCACAAGTTTTCACATTTCCAGTGTGACTATGGTGGTAACCTTTGTCTATATTGTAACTTCCCAAGAATCTCAGAAAATAGATGGTAGATACACATATTATGTACCATCTTGAGCTAGACAACACTTGGGAACCATGAAATGCTTCCAAATGTTTGCAGATACCAGAGCCTTAAAAAAACCCAAACAAAATCCCTGAACTGAAAACTCCATCCTCCCCATTCCTCCTCCAATTCTGGCTGCAAATATTT